TGTGAGACACGTGGAGCTGACCTGAACCCAACCTGCCCAAGCCTGGCGTCTGGAGCCCAGAACCTAAGCCCAGAGCCAGGAGTCCAGCTGAGACACGTGGAGCTGACCTGAACCCAACCTGCCCAAGCCTGGCTTCTGGAGCCCAGAACCAGAGCCTAGAGCCAGGAGTCCAGCTGAGACACGTGGAGCTGACCTGAACCCAACCTGCCCAAGCCTGGTGTCTGGAGCCCAGAACCTAAGCCCAGAGCCAGGAGTCCAGCTGAGATATGTGGAGCTGACCTGAACCCAACCTGCCCAAGCCTGGTGTCTGGAGCCCAGAACCTAAGCCCAGAGCCAGGAGTCCAGCCTAACTCTCCTTGTTGGAGCTGATGAACAGACTCACAAGTGTGAGGCTAAATGATTATTATTTTACTATCTGCTATGCATGGGCTTTGTCTGACATAGCACCAGCCTGGGATGGTAGAAATTTAATAACTAGTGCTTATTATCGAATCTTAAGATGTTCTTTTAGGTCATAAGTATTTTAGAATTGTATTGCTAATTAAAAAAAATGATTCTATTATTTTCAGAACGATTACTCGCATCCAATGTGTAGTTACTTAACCATGGTGCCTGGTTGTGTGTGTGTGTGTGTGTGTGTGTGTGTGTGTGTGTGTGTTTGAAAGAAATTTTACACATTAAAAGGATTATTGATCACTTAGAAATGGAGCAGGTGCTAAAGACCTGAACCTGTGAAGGCAGGGGGTGGGATAAAGAGATTTAGGAGAGTCGCTCTTTGGAAGTTACATCATCTTTCCTATACCGTTGTCTTCATCATTTTTGTGGCTTATAGTCATCCTGCACTTGAACAGCAAATGAAAAGAAATTAAAGTCATAGGGTTAAAAATCTTTTAAGGTAGAATAAAAGTTCAGTACAAAATCTTATGTGAAAATAAGAAATGTGCAACATAGTGAAACGTTGTAGACATTCTCCTTCTTTATTCTTATTGCTTGCTGGGTGCACAGAAGCACAATGTTCTGTGTTAGTCCAAACATAGCATAAAATTCATACGAATTCTCTGTGATAGTCTCTAGCTAGAAACTGCTGTGTAAGTAAATCAGTGTGTCTTTGTCTGAAGCCATAATACCATTCCTTGTTGCTTATTTTGGGCGAGAAAATCATTATACTCAAGGGAAAAGACCTCTTTAAAAAAAAAAAAAGAAAAAAGAAAACAGCAACAACTGATCTAGGTCAGTAATTTAAGAGAAGATAAGGCTCATATTGTAAGGCTCATAATTACATAAAGAGATGCTTGAGCTCTTTATTAAGTCTCTGGGTTGGAGGGGGTGTGGACACAAAGAAACACACACACTCGGCTGCGAATATAAACCGGTGTAGACATTCTGCAGAAAAATCTGGTAGAACTTAAATTACACTGAAGTGTATCCTGTCTTAGTAATCCTCCTCCTAGGAACATATCCCAAAGACATTCCACACTTGTTAATAAACCCACACGTGTGAAGATGTTGTTTGGGTATTGGAAAGTTAGAAGCAATCTGTGATCTATTATGGCTAAAAGGGATACCTAAAATATGATGAATGAATACTTCAGAGGGTCATAGAGGTGTTAGATACCATAAACTTAATGAACACAAAGAAACATAGATAACTGAAAAATAATGCTGACTGAAAAAAAATGCAATGAAATCGATTGAATACAATTGATGTAAACGGAAAGTACATGTAGGTAAAACACAAATGCATCTTTTGTAAGAAAACATACATATAGAAGACATCTTAAAATTAAAGTTAAAATAAATAATAATAGCTGTATAGGGAGAAAATAAGAGGAAGAATGAAAATAAAGGAAAACAAATAAAAATAAATTTCAATATACATTTAGATGTAATCCTTTTTTTTAACAAAATGGATCACATCCATTAGTGTTACATTTTCTGAGTTAAGTTTTCTGAGTTAACAATACATTTGTTTATGTCTCTCCAAGTCACAGCACAGAGATCTATGATTTCCACATAAAATAACTACAACATAATAATTTGTATCATGATTGTCCCTTCTGTTACTCATTTAATCCCTATTGCTGTAAATTTTAGTTTATTTTAATCACTTTTAGTCATAAACAAGGCCATAGTATGAAACCACATATAAGTTTGCACATTGCAATATTGTTGTAAGATTAATTCTGGAAATATAACTGTAATATTCAATAGTATTCAGGATTTAAAAATGAAATAGATAATGCCAAATCACCATCCTAAATACTGTAAAAATCTATATAACCTGCAACACTGAGGGCTTATATTTCAACACATTACCCCATGCAATGTATATTACTTGTTATATTCTTTGCCAACGTAAAGAGACAAAACAAAACAAAATAAATGAAGACATACATTTATTTGAAAGTCACCAGAATAATTTATTTGACAATTTATTAATATTTAATAAGCAGAGCAGCTCTTTTCTGTTGCCTCTTTAATTCATAATTATTATGTGTTGACATTTTTCTATTGAGACTTTTGTTTTAGAAAATTTAAAAAACTTTCATATTACAATTTCTTATAATTTATGAAAACAGTGTTTTTTTTTTCAGTAAATCTAAGATGGCTGGAACTATATAAGTTTTTTAGACATGGTTTCATATACTATCTGAAGGCAACCATTATCTGAATTTAGAATGATGGTACAGAATTAAATGTCATTGTGGGTTTCTAAATAAATGTGTTTCTATGTAATAGTCAATGTCTTTCATGGAGTCTCATAAAATAAATGCAATGCTTAAAATCACATAGGATTTTAAATTCCAAATTAATTTTCAGAGTAATATTTTGAAGTCAGAAGAGATACTGGTGGGTCAATTGTGCGAAACCTATTATTCTTCACCCACCTCTGATAAGGGGGGTCTCACCATAGAGATATTGGCAACAGTTTGCTAGGATTTCTGGGATAGCT